CGGCCTTCCCCTGCCGCGGCCGCGCGTTTTGCCCGTTCTCCTGCCTCCGTCTCCCTGGCTCTCCCCCATTCCAACTTTCCAGAACGGGACCATTAAGCCTGCCAAACGAAGCGACTAAGACTGCTGCTAGCGTGTCGCGCTGCCTCGTTATCCCAGTCTTTCCCTTGCAGGCATCCCAAGGGCAGATTGAAATTCTGACCTAGAACCAGCGAAGATATCGAAAACGCGGAGGAACAGGAGACGGACGCCTGCGCACTGCCGCAGCCCGCTGCCGCCACGGTGCCAGGGTACGTTTCGCCCCACGGCACGGCCAGAGGCACCCGCTCACCCCTGCACAAGGCCCGTACGGGGACAAAAAGGCCACTGAAACCCAATGATTAAATGACGGGAACGACATCCCGCCCGGCAGCCTAGCCGCAGGCCCAAGCGCGGAAGGGAGGACGCGAGCTTGAGTCGATCACGCCGAGGCCGACCAGCGCCCGCTAGGAAACCAAGAATTATTGAAGTGTTGCGCATCGGGTAGCGGACAACACAGCACGGCAGCGGGAGCCCTCGGTGATTTTCTATCTGATGTCATTTGGGGAAAATCATCTTCTTCCAGCTCCGCTCCCTGGGAGCGCGCAACAAATATTGGTGTTTTCAAGGCGTTTAATGAACCATCAGCAAACTTTGTCTCTTTTCACTCGCTATTCGTCTTGACCCTAGTTATAATTGCGGCGCAAGGGTTAGGGGACGAAGACGCTGCCACCAGTAAGTTCTTTTCTGACGTTCACTTGAAGGCGTACGTTACTCACGTTAACCAGGTGCCGCGGGCAGACCTTGCTCCCCTAGTTCCCTTCGAGGCTCGGCCAGTCTCACACAAACACATACATTAGCAGAAACACCAACCGCCCGCTCAAAGTCTTACTTTTGCCATGCCAGATCTATCTAGGATCAGCTGACAAGTGCCTTGCAAAATCACTTCTCCGAGCACTGACGTGGGGAACTGTCATCCTTAGCGAGAGGCTATTTGCTTCTGGAAAAGAAAAGCGGAGTTTACGCTTTCTGCTTCCAAACAGCCGCTACGATACCCTGCAAACAATCTTCTTGTTCCAGGGTGTTCTCCTCACCCTCTTCCTTTTCTTTTTTTGGAATATAATGGAGCTAAATATGAATGCTGCCAAAGGAAGAATTATTGAGGTTTAAGTGAATCTATAAGATAGCTTGAAAGTGAGCTCTTGACTAGAGCCTTTATCTCATTGACTTGCTGGAATGGTTCTTTTTTATCATACTATTTATGGCAACAGCCCTAACGGAGATAAATAGGTCTATAGACAATAACATACTTGCAGCGAGCAGCATATGGAAGCGTCTTGCAGGTTTCAAATCCCACTGGGCTGAAGAGACTCTTTAACAATCTCCTCGAGGCCTCTGCCTGCTCCCAAAGAGCACTGGCTTTAAAAGAGCAGGAGCTAAAAGTCTCTCGTTCTCTAATACAGAGAAAGAGAATTGGCAAGGAGGGCAAAACCCAGGCTGGAGGGACACACGAGAGGCGCAGGGCACGGGACAAGCTGCTCAGCTTCTCTCTCATTGCTGCTCAGGAGGCCACGGCGTGAACAAAGCAAGTTTGCAAAAAGACAAGTACTTTCCCCTTCCCGGGTTTCTTTAGCACCTTCTAAAATTTCCGGTGCCCTGGATTCCTTAAAACTTGGTGCAACACACGTGCTGCCCACAGCTACCACCTAACCAAGCTCCTGTGTTAGGACTGGTGTTACCTGCTGCTCCGCTGCTGAAGTCCTTGGCCTGCTGCCAGCGCATCGCTCGTGTTTACGGACACCACTAAAGCTAACCCGATCCAGACAGGCCTTTACCGCAGGCATGACCGACTCCTGCTTTTACCTCCAGAGCTTACTAATTTAATCCTCACAGATGGCTCATTCATGAGCATCGTTACTCTTAAATTGCAAGTATGGAGATGTGTAAGTGCACCGCCGTACAGCAGAGCCTCAATCACCAACTCAGGCCTTTAGATGCAATAATAAATAACGATCATCTAACGAGAGGTTTACATAATAAAACATAATGAACAGTTTATTCCAGGACAACTCAGATACTTTTACTTTTCCTTCCTTACTGGCTGAAGAGTTCTGAAAACTTTTCTGGCTCCCCGGTAGCTCAGCAGCCGCACGAGCTCTCCTCTGCCCCCACCCTTTCGTCAGGGCTCAGGAACACCGCGCGGCAGCACAGCCTGACCTGCAAGCTCTCCACTGCGCAGAGAGGCAGCTGGGCCACCTGGCAGGAGCAAAACGCAAGCATTAGAGGAGAGAGATGACAAATAAGTACAAACACTCCAGCACTTCAGGCCTCCACACAAACACGACAGAGGCCTCAGGAACAGTGAAATAAACTCAATTATTTACAGCTAAAAAACGATCATTGCTCCAAGCAGGCCAGGAAAGTGGAGAAACTCAAAGGAGGGTTGAGGAAATACCATCAGGGAAGAAACTCTCGCTGGGAAGAGGCTAATGCCGAAATGTCATGGCCAAAAGGGCAGAGGAAACGATGCTTTTCTCTCCTCTCGACATTGAGGGTTTTCTCTCTGCAAAATGAAGATAACAACCTTTACCTGCTTCCCAGGTGGTTTATGAGATTCAGTTCATTAGCGCTGGGAAAGCGCTCGGTGATCCTGGCAGAGGAGCTGCGGGAGGGCGCTACGGAGCGGCGCCGAAGGCACGTGCTGATGGATGCTCCGCGCAGCTGCTTTTCCAGTGTGACCCGCTCGTAAACCTGCCTTGGGCACCAGTAGTGCCACCATGTCCAAACTGCTGCACCAAGGTATCTAGGGATTCCTGAAAAAATCCCCGTTTCTGCTGCATCCACATCCGGCCCTTGGCGAGCTGATGCTTTTGTACCCTTACAGCACAACTCACCAGAGCACCTACAGGCGTGCGACTCAGGTCGGACTGCAGCGTTCGCCACAAACGCCGCTGTGGCCTTTTGTTAAAGCGAGGGGACGGGGAGGCAAGGGAAGGGGACGTGCTTTGCTCAAGGTCAGGCGGGGCAGCGGCGGCCCTGCAGGACAGGGCAAAGGGCTGCGAATCCAAACGGACCAGGCTCCCTCGGACAAGGCAGAGCGGCAGGGAAGATGTTCAGACCACGGCGCCCGGTGCAGCCGCTCTCGGCGCCCGCGCAGCGCCGGGCCCGGGAAAGCGAGCCGGGTGCTTCGTGCCAGCGCTTTGCTGAGCCCCCCCAGATGCCGCAAGGACCCCTCGCGGATCACACGAACCCCGACGAGCGCGGGAAGCCCATTTACACCCCAAGCGCAGAGGTCCCTAATCCAGGCCAGATTTTGCAGCCGAGCCTTCCTTTCTTGCTTCTCACCCTCCCAACACCTGCTGCTTCGGCATGTGGCCAAGCGCTATTGTGCGGCGCCCTGAACTCTGCCTCTGCCTCCGCCCCGATTTCCATGCATTTAGCGGAGCCGCTTTGCTAGCTGGCACGAGGCCGGAGGGATTTCTATTCCTCTGCTCCAGGATCCGCTAGGTTTGCCCCTCCTCCCCGAGCCGGGGTCGCCTCGTCCCCCTTCCGCTTTAGGAAGTGATCGTTAGGATTGCAGGGGAGAAAAAGAAGGAACACAAACACCTCTTGAATTCAGAGCGCGTTTCCCAGAGCTCCCAGAAGAAAACCCGGAGCCCTTTGTGCCCGTTACGTGCTGCGGGGCGGCCGGCATCGAGCTCGCCCACAGCCCCGCGAGCCACCGGCCTCGGCTGGAGCAGATATTCTCTGACCTTTCCATGCAGAAGTTAAATATCTCTTCCAGCTACGTTTAATAGGGTTTTGTGCTCTGCTCCGTTACCGTGCTGTAACCTCACTGTAAATGAAGTCCCACTCGTATCAATCTGCTTGTGCCTCTGGAAATAGCCCGTTAATCAGGAGAGACCAGCGACTTGGGTGACTGGTAGGAGCGCGCACCAGGCGAGGTCCCTGCTCCCACCGGTCTATGTTCTGCCTTTCTGTTGTGTCCCATGACACCCTCTCTCCGTGCCCCGTGCGTTCCTCCTCTCCTAAGGACGGGCTTCGTCCTCTATTACTTATTTACAGGAGCTCAGGGATTTTCAGTGGCATTCGCACAGCAATGCGGGACATGGCCCAGGAAGAGAAGAATGGATTTAAGGAACCTCAGTCTAATTTGTTTTTGCAAAGATTACGTGGGAGGTGCTAGGTAGGCTTCGGGGCTGCTTTCATCCTTGCCACCACCAATTTAAACCAAACAGCCAAGGCTGGACTTACGCGTGGTGAAGCGTGCACCAGCCGCAGTGCGGGTCCCCCGAGCTCAGGCACTCCCCGCAGGTCGTGTATTGCTCGCAGGACTCAACAGGCACCCGGGACACCTGGAAAGGAAGCAAACACACATGTTCAGCGCCTTGTCACTGCACAATGAGAGCATAAAACAAAGAGCAGCTACAGGACCTACAGAGCAAGTGTTATTTGAGTAATACAAAAGCAATTCAGAGTTTAATGAATTAATTTTAACACCTGTGCAGAAGTCAGCCAACGATAGGAAATATTACAGACTGAGTCACAAAGCCATCCTGTCGCTTCGGCAAAGCTACAGTGACTCAAAGGTACATCTGAGGGTACGATTTCGGAGGCTTGAATCCCCACGCTGCACTCTACTCTCACTCGAAAAAATCCTCCTGGCCGCTTTGCCCAGCGACGTTGCCGGAGGGGGGCAGAGTCCTCTCCCCCCGGTTTACGGCTTGCCGTGGTACACGCAGACTGGGGAGAGCTGCTGCAGCGAGGACAGCCGGCAGCGAGCAATCTAGCGCTCATCATTCGCTCTCCCAGCAGCCAAACCCCAGGTAACAGGGACTGAAGGAAACCTCCGTTAGGGGCACGGCCTCCCGCGCCCGTTCGCGGGCTCGGCGGCCCACCTGCGCCGAGGCCGCGCTTGGGTTTAGACGGTCTGACGTGGCGCGCCTGGCACGTTTGCAGGAGCACCCTACCCCTAAGCAGGTAACCGTGGTCAGCACGGTTTTACACGCATACTGTCAAGTGCTTTGACGCACTTGCATTCCTGTTATCAAATACTGCAATAATTATCACTGCCTATCACGCCAGCAGAGACGCAGATGTGCTCTTTACACTAAACGCCGAAGCGCAGCCAGGGCTGAGCGCCCCCGAGGCCGGCGGGACGGCCCTGCACGACACCGCAACGCCGGCGAAGGAGCTCGCTAACATACGCTATTCTCCCCCCTTCCCCAAGGATCCGCCTCTACCGAGCGCGCAGGAGCGACCCTGCCTTGCGCCGGCTGCTGCCTCGAGCGTCTGCACAAAGACACTTGCCACCACTACGACCGAATGGGAAGTCCTAAACCAGCAGCTTGTTGTGACAACTCTGCATTGGTTTTACGGTGATGCAAGGTGTCAGCAACAGTGAATCTGCAGGAGTCCACGTGGCCGCAGCTCTAGCGGTAACTTAACACTCGGGCAAAACGCCGTGGAGCTGGGGCTTTACGCATCAGGAATTAAAGAGACCCTCTGTACTTAAGAAGCAAAATGCAAACCTGAAAGCAACCCGCTTCCCGCCTGGTTTGGGAACCCGCAAACCACTTGGTTGTACGTTTAAGGCTTTAGCAAAAAGGAGGAAAAACGGAAAGGCAAATATTCAAGGAAAAAGGAGTCCTTGTGTTAGAGATGACAGTGAGCAGAAAAAAAGCAGCTTTTATCTTTTAAGGAAACAGCAAAAAACCCTGCATGCCCAAGCAGGCCCGAGCAGAACGTCTCTGATTCCCGTTGCAGCTGGCCTCTCCCCGGGACGTCCGCCCGCGGGGCTCCCTCCGCCCTCCGTCCCCGCAGTGAGTGATGCCTGCAACTGGCCGAGAACGAAGCCGCCCGCTGCCTTGCACTCGCTCTGCCCGTCACAGCGGCGCGCGGCCCGCAGCAGCTGGGGCGCGCGGGCCTGAAAGGCAGCAGTGTCTCCGCCGACAAAGGCCACTTTCACGCCAAGTGCTGTTGATATAGTGAGAACCCAGTTCCTCTCTAAACACGACACCAATAGGGCTGCTATTCTTCTTGTTTCCTGAGCCCTACTCAACAGCTTTTCCTACTACAAAAATTGCGTGCATCTGCAGGGATATAGATTTTTTTTTTTTTAGCGGGGCCAAAGTCCATGGGACGCACGCAGCTAAGCCCGGAGAAAACGTAACAGCAAAGGGGCCCCGGCGCCTGAAGCGCAGCGCAGGGTACCTGTCGGACGCGGGGCAGAGCCAGGTCCGTTTGCACGCCTTCAGCGCGGGACGGCTCCGCGGGGAGCTCGAGCTTAGAAACGGAAGAGAGAAACGCAGGATGAAGGAATAGCGCGGAGGTGCAAAGAAAGGGCTCGAGAGCGCTGCGCCTCATTCTTGGCTGCAAAAGGCTTCCGGTCTCTGCACCTCGCGCGGCCACCTCTAACATGCGTTTACCCGTTCGGTCTACGGAGAGGGCAAGCGCTGAGGGCAGGAACAGCCTCTCGGGAAAGATTTATTTCTGCAGAACCTGCTACGCTACGGATGCGGCTCTTAAGGTGCTTTTACTATAAACATAATAGAAAATATAGCACTACATACAACACACGTTCGTTATCAAGCAAAATCAGCCCAGCTATAAACAGGACAAGGGTAGGGTGCTGGGTGCCAGAGCCAACTAACGGCTTAACAATACAAGTTTTGCGTTTTGGGCTGTGCTGGAGGCAAAGACCGCCGCTTGAAGGACTACCCTTGCCGCGGGGAGAGGCTGGTGAAAACGGCAGGCAGAGGAGTCTGCACCAGTTTGCAGGCGAGGGTTATGAACAACCTGGCTCTTGGCTGCCCAGCAAGCAGGGAGAACATCTTCCGAAGCGGGGAACCACCAGGGAGCCACGGATTTAATCCTATCGGGGAGCCGGAGCGTCTCCCTCTGCCCACTTACGAATTTCAAAGTCGCAGGCATTCTTCATAAAAATTAATGCCAGAAAACCTGTATTGCTTCAATACCAAGGCCACTTTCACACGAGGAAGCTGCAGAAAGATTATGAACAGAAGTCATTTAAACATTCAAATGCAAGAAAAACGTTGGGTTTTTTGTTTGCAGTATTTGCCCAGCTTTCACAATACTAATGTTATCAACCATCCCTACAACCTAAATATCTAAAAGATTCCATCACTCCATTTCATTTTAATGGAAAAAACAAGAGAAATCCCACTAATAGTAGGATATTTCCATGTCTATCGCATACCTATTGTGAACACACAAGACAGAAAGCTGTTTCCATCAGAGATCGCATAGTGGGAAAGCTCAGATTCCCTTCCTCGTTCGGAGGGCAGGGTGGAAAAACTCTTGGCTTTAAGTTTTTTCAAACTCTTCTCTGCCAGCCTAATTATCATGGCGAGACTAAAGCATTTGTGTATGTGAAACACTGCGCTAGGAGAGAGCAGAAGATAAGGCACACCACGCTGCAGACATGTGGCTGTCTGCAGACGGAAGGAAAAACACCATGGATCACTGCCGACTCGGGGAAAAAAAGCTCGCCAAGAGCCAACGAGATCAGACAGAGAAATGAAGGATTCCAGGGAACATTAAAAACTAAACGTGGGGCAAAAGGATACAGCAGCAGCCTGGCAAAGCCCCCAAGGGGGTCAGAAGCCCCAGCCATAAACCCTGGACGGTGGCAGCTGGAGGCTCCGTGCCTTGCCGGAGACCAAGGCTTGATTTCTTCATGCATTTTCAGCACAGACAGGCTAGGAGACAGCAGACTTGAAGCTTGAGAGCTTTTCCCCCACCACCCCCTTTCACCACAATTGTCAGGCGAAAGCAAAAGCAGAGGGTGCCTGCTAAAAAGCAGCTGAAAAGAAATGGTAAGAGAATGAGAGGCACTCGGGCACCCCGACCGACCGAGCGCGTGGGGCACGAGCGCCTTCCAGCTCCGCAAGACCGATGCAACTAACGCTCCTTGCTCTGGTCTATTTGTGCTCTCATCTTCACCAGCCCCGGGACAACTCTGCGCCAAGCAAAGCTGTTTATTTAAAAAGGGCTTTGGTTTTCACTATTTAGTTTTTAAATGCAAATGCTTCTCTTTATTTACATTACAGAAGACAGGTCACAGAAGTGCTCCTGGCACTCCAAATAAACATCTGAGAAGGTCTATCATCATTTCAGGAGTGTATTTTTGCAACCCCAGACTAAGCCCCAAGAAAGCTCTGTTGTCTAAACCGACGAACTTATTCACCGAGCACGAAGCTGTGCTGCATCCCGAGAGCAGAGGTCTCGACCTCCGCCCTCATCTCGCGGCACAAGCAAATCTCGGAGCAAAGCTTGAGCTTTCTCAAGTGGATGCTAATTTTCGATGCCCTGAGACCTCTGTTCCAGCTATCAGAAACACGGGGCCAGAGGTCCTGAAGCCAAGCAGAGGCACGCCGAACTCACGGCTGCTTTCCCGAATGCCAACTCAAATCCTGCAGCCGCACGCGTGCACGATGGACTCCTGCCTCCCTGCACCAACGGGGCCACGCGGGGGTACCTCCGCTGAACCAGGCAGCGACTCAGTTCAGGGATGACAAGGACATCCCACGCTCCATGCTGGTGCTGTTGCAGCATGTGCAGGGCGCCAAAGGGATTTGGCGGAGCCAAAGACCCACGCGTGCGAAGGACAACGGCCAAGAAACCAGCCCCCGGGCAGTTGTCTTCCGCCCACCAGCGGTACCCCGCTCCGCCAGCCTGGCGGCTACTTCTCCTCCTCCTGTCCGCGCGCAAGCACTGCTGCTGAGCTTTTCACCTCCCTGTTCAAGAACCTACTTCTCAATAATTAAATTATAAAGTCTCACTACTGCTTTCCTTGACTGCCTGACCTACGGGACATTAGCAACAACAACAAAAATCAATACAGACTCTCCAAATTTCTTAGAACAAAATACGTGAACTAAAACTTCGCAAGACCCCAGAGAAAATTAAAACACAAGTGCAAGAATCTGGTTCCAAATAAATAAGTACATACATAAACAAACAAAACAGTTTCTGCAGGTTACGCCTGCTGCCGGTACAGGTCCCTGACCTCTGTGACTAGGAGCTGGCCCGCAGGGCGTCCCGTCGGTACGGCACGCTGCCTGGAGACCCACTGGGGCAGCGCAGTTCAAACAGAAAATCTATCTTTAATGACTTCAGGGAGTGCGGTAGAGATGCCAACTAGTTCAATGTAATTAAAGCTATCTATCACTCAGTGAGCAGGAGCCCAGAGTTGATGAACTTTCCGATGAGACTTTTTTCTTTCCTCCATTCGTGAAAGAGCTCCATTTTGTGCTGCCGCAGGAGACGTGAAAAAGTGTGGGAAGGAGCAAGGAGGACTCATCTGTTCCAGCTGCTAATGTGCCAGGGTGCC